CTCTCTCTCTCTCTCTCTCCCCCCTTCCTCTCTGAAATCAATAAAAATATATTTTTTTTAAAAAAACACAAAGCAGAGCCCCCCGCCCCCCGCCATTATTTTTTAAAAAAGAGACTGATAACATTATCAATCATCTCTTGGAAGCTATGCAAAATTGTTTTAATGCTTTCCTTGTTTTTGGAGAGTAATTCTTTTTGCGATTCATTTTCTTCATCTGTGTTTGTTAAGTTCTTTACATATCTATGATCAAGTCCCATGTTAACTCTTGTCCTAATACTAATTTTCTTTAAACAGAGTCCTATATTTGTTGCATAATGAAAAGGATCCACAGAGGAGAGAACTGGGGTATGCTGCACCTTCAGCTTTAGTTTTCTTGAACATCCATTTACCAAGTCTATTACTTTTCTTGATTTTGAGTGTGTGTTCCCTTGGTTATGTGTAGCAGGTTGCTATGACTCACAGAAAAGCCCTGTGTTAACCTATCAAACTGCACCCCCGCCCCAAACTAGCTGGCTCACAGGAAATGAGGGGAGCATGTCACCCTCAGCTTCATCCCCCACCCCCACCCCACCTCGGTTTGCTTCATGATCCGGATCTTGAATGTCTTGAATGGGGTCTTTACAGTGGCTCCCTCACTTCTCCAGTGGCCTGCCCACATCCTCAGATCTCGTTTCTCTAATGAAAGACACCTGGCTACATCTTTCTGAACTGAGAGACTCAGTTTTAGTGAAACCTGTTTCTTCAAGGTCTGAGGAGGTGTCTGCTCTCAAATTCCCTCTTGTTTTCATCTATATTTCACAGAGTCTGGCAGGTTAACTAGACTCTTTTAGTTGCAATATTCCAAGTGACAAAAACCTCATCTAAAGTACCACAAGCTGTACCTGTCAAAATAAATAAAGGAAAGAAGAAAGAAAGGCAAAAAGGTAAGGAAGGAAGGAGGAGGGAGAGGAAGAGGGAGGGGAAACAAAAGAAGGAAGAGAGAGAGAGAGAGAGAGAGAGAGAGAGGGAGAGAGAGAGAGAGAGAGAGAGGTGGGGGAAGGAACATATTGGCTCAAAACAGAGCAGTCCACAGTGTGGATGTGGTGGCCTCAGGCACAGCTGGATTTAGGGGTTCATATAACATCCTTGAACTTGGTCACTATCTCCATTCTGTTTGTTTATACAACACTTCCCTCTCAGAGTCACTCTGCACAAAGCAATGAGTTGGCCAAGACAGCATCATCTTTATAGCTTGTGAACTTGGAGAAAAAGCACTTTTCTCAAAAGTCCGAGGGAAGAATTCCATTGGGCTGGCTGGGATTATGTGCCCACCTCTGAACCAACCGCGCTGGCTGGTGGGTTGGAGAATTCTGATTAGCCAGCTCTGACCACTTAACCACCTCGGGAGAGAGGGGTAGGGAAGACAGGGACAGTCCTCCTCCCAACAGACTGAGCAGGATTTCACACCCAGTGCAAGACGGCTCACTTTCCAAAGGGGAGGGGATGGGCCCCAAACACAGTGTGAAGTTTGCTCCATGTTTTGTAGTTTGGGGTAGAACCATTTTTGTTGTTGTTGTTGTTGTTTCATCGATGACATTTACTTCTCTGTTTTTCATTCGTTGTTGCTTTGATTGGGTTTCTGCAGATGCCTCTGCTTTGCCATCTTTGACCAGAGAGCCCTCTTTTCTTTTTTACTCCAATAATACTAACAGCACGTGGTACTTTAAATATAAGCCTTTCAAGTCTTATTCATCGTTCCTCAACCCATGGTGAGGGCTGGGAGGAGATGGGAGTGAAGGAGCACAGTTATTTCCATTTTACAGATTAAAAACTGAGCTCCCAAAAGCGTGGAGAGATATGCTAAACAGCACACAGCTAACTTCTGAGGCTGAGAGAATAACCAAATCAGGGATTCTGGCCCCAACGAAGAGTTCTGACTCTACAATTAACTGTTCTTTCCTCCTAAAAATCAATTTCCTCCTAAAAATTAATTTTCTAACCACAACACTTTGAACAATATTTACACAGAAAGGGGGAGGGCGAAAGTAGGTTTATAGTTGTGAGTGCATGAAACAGTTAATAAAGCTATTGTAATCATCATAATCTGTATGTCGTTTTCCAAACGAACAGCAATGAACTTACTTCTGCCCACCCTGCATACATATTTCAATGAAAGCTGTTTTTAATCCTTGTAGCCCACAAAGTAGGAGAAAATGGAGTGTTGCTAAGGAGCAAGCCTGCCAAACTTTACAGGAATCCTTAAAGGGACGCACAGAGACCGCTGTGATCGGCACACCGGTTATATGATCGTTCCTGAAGTCCTTGGGAGTGTGTTCTCTTTCGGAAAGGTAACGAGTTTCCCAGGATCTCGTCTGCGATGATATCTTGCTGAGCAAACCCTTTTCCATTACAACCAGCATGAAGTTAAACTCCAGTCCATCCCATGACTGAGTTATCTGTCTGTATTCTAAATTAAGGCTGCACAAAGCTCCTTCCCTCCCCCCGCCCCCTCAGCCCGAGCACTCGGCCTGAGGCGGCTGCCCCCACCCAGGACCCTGCATGGGGAGCGTGTCCTCACTTCCTCTGTCCTCTTTCCCATCTGCATGTGTGCCAGGCCGCTTCCTGTTCTGGTTGCGCATTCCCTTCCCTCCCTTCCTCAGTAGCCCTGCTCATGACAGGACTCTTCACTTTACAGTTTATGGGCGAAAGAGGAAAACAATGTTAATTGAGGGTAAGGCTTTAGCATCAAAACTGGGAACACTCCACTGCATAGCAAAGATCATTTCTTGGAATTATTCACTTAAATGTTTACAAGAAATGATTATCAAGTGTCCCGGATTGATTCACAAATGTAATTAATGAAAGAACTGCTAATAGTTTCCATTTGCTGGTTTGTTTTAAATCCTACTGTATAAAAAAAATTTTTTTGGCACCTCAACAAAATCCCATCCAATGATTAAAGGAGCTAAAGATTCATAGAGCAAAAATGTTATTGGCAGTGAGACTTGCCAGGGTATACTGCAAACCCAGCTCTGTCCCAATCATTACACGATGCCAAAGCCATGCTAACAAAACAAAAGGAAAACAATGAACAATTAGTGCCAACGCCTCATCATTCTGGACAGTCGGTAAGAAGTGCGTCCAGGCCCTAATTGACTTCTTCTTTGCTTTAGTGGAATAAACTAAGTCACTGAAAATGCCTTTGCTGTCCCAGGCCGAGGAAGACATGGTGAACTCTGGCTGGCCAGGCTACTCTGCAACATCAGAAGGTTTGCAAAAATAAAAAATAAATAAAAATAAAATAAAATAAAACAGCTCTTGTCTGGTTTTCCCTGGTCAGCTTTGATTCCTGTGAGGCTGGGTACCGCAGGATCACCGTGGCCTTCTTGCTTCAGGGCCGAAAGGAGCACAGGTTCCCTGCGGCCCTTGTGTTTACGCTCTGGGCCGCAGCCTGTTCTTACTCAGCAACAGCAAAAGATTTGTGGCAACGGCCAGTTTCATGTTTTGTGCTCGACTCCCAAAGCCCCAATGTGAAGTTTGTTCTCTTCCACTTAAGGAGACATTTCGTTTTCCCTTTCATTTAAAAAAATGTTCTGAATGCAAAGCGACCTTACAAGGACGACGAGGTTGCCTAACATAAATCCCGCGTGTGCCACACTCCCCGGGCTGTGTCAGCAGACAAGGTCAGCTCGGCAAAACCAACCAGCTGCCAAGCAGCCAGTTCGGGGAAGAGTTTTGAGCACGTAACCTGTGTACAAATCAAAGTCAGGCCTGAAATCTAAAGTGAGGGCAACAAGTACTTGGTCTTGAAATGGGCCGTGGAATTTAATCTTGGTAGGCAAATTTGAACTGGGCAGTTGTCCATAATGACCCAATGGAAAGTCATAGAAAAATATCTTTGAGTGACCCTGTCCGGTCCAAGACCTTCTGCCTATTTAGGATCAGTACTGGCTGGGACTGGAAACAGAGCCTGCCCTCACCCTGACCCCCAGTTATTCAAGGCTGCCGTCAGAAAACACCAGGGTAAGACTCCACGTGGTCCATGCAGTGAACATTTCTTCACAAATCCTTAATATGATAGGACATTTGCTCCTCACTTTTCTGGGGAAAGCCCTGGAAAGCCCTATCCAAGAACATAATATGAATTTAGGGCTCTCCAGATTAGGGAGGGGGGAGGGGACGGAGGGATGAAGGTATCAGTGAGAATTAGGATAAAATAAAATAAAAAAAGCCCTATCTAGGACCATGGTATGAAATAAAGTAATTCCCAATCATTCATTTTATGAGGGATTAGTAGAGGGATGTCATAGAAAGAGAAATCCACAGGACTCTCCTGCTTTAACTATTAATTTGAAAAATAAAGCGTCTAAGTTTCTACTGGAGAAGAACATAAACTGTCTCCTCTTTTGTGGAGCTAACAATAGTGAACTAACCCAAAGGGAGGGATCAAGAGATTCCAGGCCAGGCAAGAATCCCAAATAACACAAAAAGAATGACCAGCCGGCCTCAGGGGCGGGCTGGAACAGTCCAACTCAGCGGTTCTCAACCTGTGGGTCGAGACCCCTTTGGCGGTCGAACGACCCTTTCACAGGGGTCGCCTAAGACCATCCTGCATATCAGATATTTACATTATGATTCATAACAGTAGCAACATTACAGTTATGAAGTAGCAACGAAAATAATTTTATGGTTGGGTCACAACATGAGAAACTGTATTTAAAGGGCCAGAAGGTTGAGAACCACTGGTCCAACTGAAGCAGGACTTTAATCTGACAGTCCTATCAGAGCAGCATCTAGGCAAGTATGAGCAAATGTTCTCCTAAGGATTAAATGGGGGGGGGTGTGTAAAATCAACTCCATTCAGCTGTGAGAAGAAACCTTTCCTTCTCATGTACCGCTAACTGAAGATTTGCTTTATATAAAAGAGAAAATGTGAACCAATCATCTACATAAGTTAGAAAACAAACTGGTAAATGACATCGCTGCCCTCGCCAGAAAAATCAAATAAAAAGAACACTGACCCTCCGCTTCTCAGATGAGATGGCAAGGATGTTGCCCCTTCGAACATTTCTTGCTCCTTGATTTCTCTGAAGCCTCCATCATATGTTAGCTGAAGTGGATGACTCTTTAAGTGGCCAACAGCCTTTGGTTCTGTTAAATAAATCCCATTGATTTTCACCGGAGAGTCCCCCATCTTAACTGTGTCTTTGGATTCCACTGTCTTCTTTCCTGTAATAACCAAGGAGATGTTTTGTCAAAGCATTTCTTATTTTAGGAATCACCATCTTTCCATATTTTTTTAAAATCTAAGAATGTACACAATTCAAAAATTACATGTCACTTATAATCAAGTATGGATACAACGTCCCTGGCCATATAAGACCTCACCACTATTTTAGGCTTGGCATCATCGATCCAGCAGGTAAAAATGAAGAGGATCTTATTTCTATTAGCTTGGGGTCTACCTAAGGCCAACGCTTAAATTTAGATTTATGAACCACCTAAGTCCACATACATACTCTGCATCCCATCCTCTTCCTACAAGTAATCATGTTAGTAATTTCTGATTCAAAAAAGATATTTATTGAGTGCCCCCTGATGTCAGGCACTGTCCTAGGCACGTAGGATGCATCAGTGACAAAACAAAGATCCCTGACCTCATAGGGCTTACATCCGAATAGGTATAAACAGATAATAAGTAATACACCATAATAAATAAGGTATATAAGATAAGTATTATGGAAAAAAGCAAAAGTAGAAAAGTGGAGAAGGGTGAACAGGACTGGCAATGGGTGGACATGGTAGACGGACCCTTGAAGGAAGTGGTGCACCTGCCCCTCAGATGCTGAGGGACAGGATTGCCAGCAGAGGGGAAGCAGATGCGGAGGCCCTAAGGCAGGACTGTGCCTGACATGCCCAAGGAACAGCAGGCAGGGAGTGTGTGAGGGGAGAAGAGGAGGAGAGGTGGTCAGAGGGGCCGGGCTGGGTCGTGGAGGCCGGCAGATCATTTCCAGGTGATGAACGGAGGGGTGCGCTGAAACCCTCCAGGCTTTCTGAAGGGACTAAGGTAGAGTTGCAAAAAGATGTCAGCCTCTGAACCAAAACACCTGCCTTGTTTATGACTGCAGAGCCTGACACTTATAATACAACACGGCTTCTTTATCAGCAACTGACATGAGGGACAGCTTATCCATGCTGCTCTACTCTACTCTAGTCTGTGATAAAATATGTTTTCAAAGCGGAAGGGGGAATGAGCTTCATATAGAAAAATACTGTTTCGCAAGCTTTTCCAAAGCAACTCAAGGTTTCCTTTTCTGCACTTGAACCAACAAACCAATGAAAACCGACAACAAAACCACCTAGTCTATGCCTCCGACCAAGCTCCTTGAGTCCACACACTGAATTGTAAAGCCGAAGGAAACCTGATGAATTGGCTAGGTTCACCTTCATTTTTTCAGATGAGAAAATGGAGAACCCAAAAGGTTAAGTGACTAGTGTGAGGTCACAGGGGAAGTTCAGGGAGAGCAGGACCGTACAGTGGGAAGAGAGTAGGCTTTGCATTTCAGCAGACGTGGGCTCAAGCACAGGCTGTGACGAGCAGGCGCCACTCAACCTTTCCCTCACCTTCCTCCGTGGTCCCCACTTCTTGGGGACGTGGTGAGAATGAAATGACATGACCTAGTGACTTATCACACTAAAACCTAGACGTCAGTGTCGTTACTATTCATGGAACTCCAGAGTCCTGGCTGCTGGCCCAGGGCTCTCCGCACAGTGCAGGCTCCCTTAGAGGTCTTTACCTCTGAGTTACAATGCACACATTCTGTTTTGATCACAAAGAATCTTTAGCCCGTGCCTACATCTTAGCACTTGTTTCTTTCATCCATCCACCCCTTGAATATTTATTCAGCACCCACGCCAGAGGGCCAGGTGCTGCTCCAGGTGCTGGTGGTCCAGTGGTGAACGAGAAGTCCCAGCCGCCATGGGCTACTGTCCTGGAGGGGGAAACCCACCCGCCCGAGAGGTGAAGGAGCTGCAGCCCCTTTATCTTCACAATCTACCAGGGCAGTGGTTCTCAACCTTCTGGCCCTTTAAATATAGTTCCTCATGTTGTGACCCAACCATAAAATTATTTTCGTTGCTACTTCATAGCTGTAATGTTGCTACTGTTATGAATCGTAATGTAAATATCTGATATGCAGGAGGGTCTTAGGCGACCCCTGTGAAAGGGTCGTTCGACTGCCAAAGGGGTCGCGACCCACAGGTTGAGAACCGCTGTACTAGGGGGAGCTGGCCGCTACCACCACAGAGCAGGCTGCCTGGGGCTCACTCCTGCTCCTGATGGAGCGCCGCCATTCAGCTGAGCAGGGGTGGCGATGCTCCGCGTCTTCCTGGCCAATCTCTGCAGCCCGCTGTACTAACTCTGTATGGGCCAGCATCACCATGCAGGAGCGGTTCCAGCTCACAAACACTTCTACCGCCTGCTGTATACCAGATCCTGTTTTAGTCTCTCTGGCTACAATGACAGAAAAACCTCTTCACCTCTGAAGTTGCTCAGTCTAGTAGGGGAGACAGAGAAGCAGACCTGGGTAAAGAGAGAAATGCCGTACAGACAAGTGCGGTGGTCCGAGCCAGGTAAGGGTGACAGAGAGAATGGGGGAGTCCTGAGAGTTTGGGAGTTGGTCGGGGAAAGATTCAGAGAGGAGGTGGAGCCTGCGAAGCATTTTGAAGGGTAAACAGGAGGCAAAAAGGAGTTCTGAGAAGGAGGAACAAAAGCTTCGAGTCCCAGCCAGCCGCATGTGTGTACAAACTGGATAGTCGAGCAGGGCCCTGCTGAGAAGGGCCCCGTACTGGCTTAATGTTTGCTGTTGCCATCTTGAAATTCTGAATACTTTTTTAACAAAGAGCTCTGCATTCTCATTTCGCACTAGGTCCAACAAATTCTACAGCAGGTCCTGCATGAGGCTCGGAACAACAGGATGGGTGGGTGTGGGGAAATGCAGGGAATTCCACATTGTTGGTGCATAGACTGTGGGGTGGGCTAGGCCAGGGAGGGTTGAGAGAAGGGCCTGGCTGGGGCCAGAACACAACAGGGCTGTACATGCAAGGAGTGGGGGCTTCATCCCCCAGGCCAGGAGTCAGCAAACTACCCCCAAATCTGGCCCACCTCCCATTGTGGTAGAGCCTGCAAGCTATAAGAATGGTTTTCATATTTTTAAATGGTTGTGGGTAAAAATCAAAAGAAAAAAACATGTTTTGTAACATGATCATTATATGAAATTCAAATTTCACTGGCCACAAATCAGTCTATGGTTGCTTTTCCTAAGGGCAGAGCTGAGCAGATGTACAGACTGTATGACCTACAAGGTCTAAAATATTTACTATTAGGCCCTTCACAGGAAAAGTTTGCCAACGTCTGTGCTAGGTCAGTGTTTCTCAAACTGTGTTCCCCAAAAGACAGATTCCGTAGCCAAGCCGACTTGTGAAATGCTGAGTGGAATGAAAATTAAACACTTTCTTTACCAGATGGGCTTTACCGACCCTCTGAACATGCCCATGTGTATTGCGAGTCTCCGAGGGGGAGAGAACATGAGTGCACCTATTTCAGCACTGAGCCCTTTTTCCAAGGAAAAGCTATTAACATTTTGCTAGAAGTTCCCTAGAACTCAGTTTGGCAAACACTCCTTTAGGCACAGGGGGCCTTCTGAAGGTTTTTTAGCAAGAAGATGACGCAATCTGATTTTTGTTTGCTTCCTGACCTCTGATCCCTGATGGCACACACAGAACATGATTTTTGTGGTCCGGTGAGGTAAAGGGAGACGGCCCACAGCCATGTCTGGGTGGGAGCTTGGCTTCCCAGGCTGTGCTGGCTGCTCCAAGGGCCGAGCGACCTTGTGCTGACCCACTTGCAGCCCCTGCAGAGGGTGAGGTGGAGCAAGACAGGAGGGCCGAAGACCAGGGACAAGGCCGGAGGTGATCAAGGCAGTGAGGCGGAGGTGGGACAGGAGAGCAGACCTAAGAAGTATTTAGGAAGCCCATTTAGGAAGCCCAGGAGGGGCTGGTGATGGCAAAGATGACCGGGATGGGTAAGAGCAGCGGTTCTCAACCTGTGGGTCGCGACCCTTTTGGGGGTGGAACGACCCTTTCACAGGGGTCGCCTAAGACCATTGGAAAACACATATATAATTACATATTGTTTTGTGATTAATCACTATGCTTTAATTATGTTCAATTTGTAACAATGAAAATACATCCTGGGGGGAAAACCAAGATGGCGGCATAGGTTAACGCCGGAGTTTGCTGCCTCGAACAACCACTTCAAAAATACAACTAAAAGACGGAACAAGAAGATGGGCACACACATCTCTTCCCCTTTCATTTTCGTAAATTGGAAATTCCCAGCCTGTCATCACAGCCCGAGCCCCACCCGTGGCAGTGTCAGCTGCAAACGAATTCACACCAAAGGGAGGGACGCCACTCCATCTCCGTGAACACGGTTCCATTTAGGATCACCCAGTAGAGGGTCCCTTCTCTACACAACAGAGACTGAAACCAGCCCAGGGAGCCGCTGTTCGGATGACAGTGGCAGCAAGGCTAGAGCGCTACAGCGTTTTTGTTGATGGGGCAATGTGCGCTTTTAAAGGGACAATGCCTTCCAGCTGCCATAGCTTCCTGAGTGCTGACACACACCCAGGGGATGGTGGAAATGGTGAGGTGGGGCCGCTGCAAACAGGGTGGATAAGAGAACCGCAGCAAAGACATGCTTTGGGGCAGCTTGGAGGCGCGAAGATGGCCTCGGTGCTGGGACAGGGTGCCTGCCGCCCACGGCACCTCCCAGAGCAGCACTGGGGTGCTGTGGCCAAGGGCCAGGGGGCCCAGGAGCGGAGGAGCTAAGCCATGAGGGAAGCACAGAAGACGAGGTGGTGGGTGACACATCCACCTGTTCGGGCACCTTCACAAAGCCGTGAGTGGCTCGGTAAGCAGCAGGGTTCTCAGGGTGAGCTTCCAAGAGTTAAAAGCGTTAAACGTGGCTGCGGCATTCGCGTTCAAAGCCACCCAACGAACGGCCATTTAGTAGCTCTTGCACCAGCTCTGCCATCCTGTTCACAAGAAGTGACCCTGCTCCTCTCTGAGTCTGCCTTCACCCCCAACCTTGATCCCATCCCTCTCACCCTGTCAAGGGCTTTGCTCCTGCAGCTACCACTCCCTTCTGATGAACTGGTCTGCTAGGGCCCAGTGTGGAGCCTGTGAAAGTTGCTCAGGTGACTAATGTGCCCCGACACTGAGAAACATAAGGTGGATGGTGTGTCTCCCTTGCTTAGACCTTGCCCTGGTTTTTCCCTGTGAGCAGCTTCGAGCCGGGCCATTCCCCCAGCCTGGCCTGCGTGGCCTTTGGCTTCAGCTCCCGCATCCATAGCGGGACGCCTCTCCTGCACTACACATCACCGCGTGACACACACACACACACACACACACACACACCCTCAGCTCCTGCATCCATAGCGGGACGATTCTCCTGCACTGCACATCACCGCGTCACACACACACACACACACACACACACACCCTGCACTGCCTGTCTTTTCTCTCCTTGATGCCACCTCTTCAGCTATGTCAGGGATCTCTGGAGAACCCAGGAACCAGACAGGAACATGAGCTGAGTGGCCGGGCGACATGGGGAACAGCAGATCACATCCGGGGCTAACAGGGTGGGCACACCCAGCTCCAGTCATTCTCTTGGGGGCTGCACAGAAAGGGGGCCCGGAGTGGCTGGACCGTTAGATTTTTCACAAGAAGTCATACATCTGGACTCTCCCATGAGCTCTGCGTTTAGATGTTGCTGATGACAAGGGAAGGCTTGTATGTGAAACCAGGAGGCGCCTCAGTGCGACTCGCAGCCTTCGGCGTCCATCCTCAGTCCCTCCTCCGTGTGGCTGCTGCCAGCCCTCCACCAAGCCTTAAACTGGAGGAGGGCCAGTCCGCCGGCCCCGGGCAAAGTGGTTTCCCGACTTTTCTGACCATAGAGAGTAACAATAAATGTATAACACGCTTGACTATGAATGTGCTACATAGCAAATTTACAACAGGGCCCTGAACACACGGGTATGCGGCTGGAAAAGTCTCTCGAAGCCGCACTCATCCCCCTTATTGTCTGCAGTGCACCCTGACATTTCCCGTTACATGCTGGTCTACTTCATTTTTTAAAAAAATGCTTGGAGTGATCCACTAAATTGATTGTCACCCACTGCTGTTCCTTGGTTTGTAAACTCTTAGCATGCCCTGGGCAGGGAATGATGCCAACTGGTGGGGCCACGCCTTAGAATGCCCCTCTGTCCCCAGATTTAGATACTGGCCAGCAGTTCTGCGACAGCAGGAAAAGCCCCTTTCAACTTTTGCTTATGTTTTCCCATGGGATCGGAGGGGTACTGCCAAAGACCCAAGCTTAGTGGACTTAGATGAGTCTTAAAAATGCCTAATGAAATGAACAATTTCTTAAACTCTAATTTTTAAAATCATTTATCCAATCTTGATAAACCCGTTCATTAGAAAATACTTGTCTTCCTATCCTTTTTCTACCAAGTAACAGTTTTTTGAAAACTATGATATTTAGGTATTCTTTATAAACACCCAGAAAAATATGTGAACAATATTTCTTACCCAGCTTTTGCATAATATTAACTAAGTCCTAATTAATGTAAAAAAAAATCACATGGGGTTTGAAAATATGATATAAAAATAGCTTTTGCGTGCAAATTCGAGAGACATGCCCGCCCCCAGATGTAAAGATGGTCAGGTGGCCTTACGCTCGGCGGGAGGCAGCGTCCTGTCCGGCAGAAGGGCCCCCTGGGAGGCCGCCCGGAACAAGCGCGCCCGGGCGCTGCTTATCCTTCGCATCTTCACGGGGTCCACCGGGGGCTTCGGGAAGGAAAGGCCGGGGTCCCCTTCTGTGGTGGGAGATGCCGGAGCTTTCGGTTTCTGGAAAGAGAATGTTTAAACGACTGGCGTGAGTTTCTGTGTCTCATACCAGACTGGCACCTGGGGCTGGCCCTGCCCCTCCCGCTGAGCACAGGCATGGCTTTCTGCCTGGCTGGTCCCGCCCCGGGCTCCACGTCTCATGGGCCATCTTACTCAATATGTTATACAGTGGGGCCTTGACTTACGAGTTTAATTCGTTCCGAGACCGAGCTCGTTAAGGAGCTCATTAACTCAAATTACTCTGTCAACTCAATGCAAAATATCGGCAGAGAGACAGCTGGTATCTCAAAAAACTCGTTAGTCGGGACACTTGTAAGTCAAGGCCCCACTGTATAGATAACTCTTGTTCATTGTCTTTGTCAAATATATTGTATTAATTACACTACCATCCTGCTTAGTGTTTTTAAAAAACAACAACAGTTTATCCATGCTAGCAAACAGCTATCTGTATGAGAGACTAAAACATTTGGGAGAGTATATGCGTTGCAAATTTATGTATTCAATTCAGTTCAGAAAACATGTATTGGGCACCTATATGTGTCAAAAACTATGTGGAATATAAATACGACCATTACACATTTTGGACTCCACAAAAGTACTTTTTAATGATATAAATTTTTTTTTAAAAAAAATACATTTTTACTTATTTCAGAGAGAGGAAAGGAGAGGGAGAGAGAGACTCATTGACTGTCTGCCTCCTCCAGGTCCCCTACTGGGGATCGAATCCGCAACCCAGGCATGTGTCTGACTGGGTGTGTGAACTGAACCATGACCTCCTGGTTCACACATCGATGCTCAACCACTGAGCCACACTGGCCAGGCAATGATATAAAATTTTAGAAACTAATTTAAAGTCACAAAACATAAGAGCAAGAAGTTGTCTTGGACTTATGACATAAACATGTCTTCTTTTCCATATCACTAGAATTCTATGCTGATATCCTTAGAAAAGAAACATTACTGGCAAAATTCCAATTCCTTAAAGACTTTTAAAAATACCAGCACCAGGCACTGTGCTGCCCAGCGCATCCTCAGATCTAAGCTCCAGGTGGCAGTGGCCTCTGACCCAGGGCCAGAACCTCATGGAAGCCTAAACGCCCACTTTCAGTGTTGCTGGTGGTCAGTCCTTCCTCCCTCCAACGTTAGCAGAATTACCTGTCTGTGAAAGAGCAATCTTAATGGCAGTGGTGCTTTTGGGGTCTCTAACCAAAAACAATCAAGTTCAAGTTCCTCAAGTCACTTACATAAATATGTGAAAGGGGTGACTCTCAATCCCACAGGTTTGTCAATAAATATTTTAAAAATCCAGTGTGAACTTCAAGTCAGATAATTTGGAAAAATGGGTGAAGTCATCTATCATATATGACACATAATTTTTTTTTTTTTTTAAATGATTGAGTTGTGCTTACATCTGATGGCCAAGCACAGTCTCCCTCCAAGGAGTTACTTATTCCAATAATGATGACATTTTTCAAAATTTTTTTTTCTTTTCCAATTACAGTTGACATTCAATATTTTTTTTCATTCAATATTATTTTATATTAGTTTCAGGTGTACTCAAAATATTTGTTCATTTGCACCTGAAATCAGTTCATGAACCACATAAAAATTAGTTATGACTTTAGATACACATTCTTCTAAACACAGCTAGAAAACTGGTAAATAAAATAATTAGCATAGTATAGAGCAGTGATGGTGAACCTATGACACGCATGTCAGAGGTGACACATGAACTCATTTTTTTGGTTGATTTTTCTTTGTTAAATGGCATTTAAATATATAAAATAAATATCAAAAGTATAAGTCTTTGTTTTACTATGGTTGCAAATATCAAAAAATTTCTATATGTGACACGGCACCAGAGTTAAGTTAGGGTTTTTCAAAATGCTGACACGCCGAGCTCAAAAGGTTCGCCATCACTGGTATAGAGGAAGAGTAAATGACTTCGGAATCAAACTGATCTGGAGTGGAATCTACTCCCTAGCTGTGTGAACTTGAGCTGGCCATTGACTTCTCTGAACTTGCCCAGCTATCAAATGGAGACAGCAGTCCCCTTCTTGCAGGGACACTGACATAGACAATTCCTGTTATGGAGGCTCCAGACATGCTAGCTCCCTTCCCTATGTGAGTGACTCACTCATTATTTACCGAATTTGGCTCCAAGTTACTTTTAAGTCACAAAGCCAAGGCTTAGCCTCTGACACAACCTTGCTCGGAAGAAAAATCCTGAATTCAGAGGCATCTATTCTGAAGGAGACAACACTCATTTGTCTGTATAAATTCTGCTATATTTGTTCAATAGTCACTTTATTTTTTATTCTCCCTAATGTATTGCGAAATATTCATTAGAATGTGACTTAGGCCATGAAACTAAGAGTAACAAAAAAATCTAAAAGCATATAAAACAGGAAAGTTAAGTGCTTTAGGTATTATTATGGAAGATAAGATACATTAGGACAATCTCAATATTGAATGTAGATACGAAGTTTTCTTATCTCAAAACGTCTGTACTCTGCAGGTACCTTGAATATAAAGCAAAGACCAAGAAGTCTGCCAAATAATAATAATGCAGATAAATAAATGTTTGTTTTTGTTTTTTACAAATGCCATAACTGTTCTAAAAATTTTGGACACTAAATAAAAGATCTTATAAAGGGAAAAATATTTTTGCAAAGCTAAGTTTTACCCAAAGAACAATAGCTGAATTACCTCTGATGGCAAGATAAAGCCCCTTCCCTGCTCCCTGATAGAAGGTGGGATTTCCCTAGCACAACGCTAGTCGGTGTTGGCATCATGACAAATTACTTCCAGTTTACTGTTGACCTTTACTAAATCATTTATCTCATTTAAGCATATACCTCACTGGTCTACTTAAAATACAAACTGATACATGTAAAGCATTTTTAAATTCGTCAGGGAAAACGACTAAAGAAACCATCAATTTCTATCATGTCAGGTTCTACAAAATGGTCTTCCACGTTGCAGAGCAAAATGGTGTTTATAGAGCTAAACAGTAAAAATGTTTTCATACACAATTCGTGGCATTTTAGAATTCAGAGAAGGTTTCAAGTAAGTTTCAGCCTCCACTGGAGAACCTTCCTCCCCCGTGTTGTGTGTCATGACATGAACCAGGGACTTGAGTATAATCAGGGACACTGGAAAGTCAGAATTTAAGATTTCTTCTGGTTGATAAAACTGCTCCAGTCCGTTGAAGACTGAGAGACTACTTTCACAGAACCACCTAATGAAAGAAGACAAAATTCCTAGAACATCTAAGGGATCTGGCTGGCTCGGCTCTCCTCCCAGCACTTGGGCCTTGACTGATTTCTGACCTGGATCCTTGGGATCACCAGTTGGGAACATGGGGTGTCCCCTGTTCTACATGAAGGCTGGGAACGGGAGTCTATGACATCCCACCCCAGAAAGTTGCTATGATTTAATTTGTAAAACAGCAGCACGCGCACACACACACACACACACACACACACACACACACACACACACACCTCTTGGAAGTTAGAAAGCAAATATTAAAAATTCCCCCAAGCCCATGACATCTGCACGTGGCAATTGGACATGATTTCTATTACCATGATTTCCTCTCGCAGGTACCCTGGGCTCTTCTGTCTCTCCCAGCAGGTGACTCACGGAGGTAATGCTACCACTCCTTCCAGACACAGTGAAAGACATTGTTTTGTCTTAGTCTGCTTTTTCTCACCCTGAATCTCCTCTAACCTCAAAGTATGGGCTTCTTAGTCCCCATCTTTTAAAAATATATTACATTTTGTTTTACTCACCAAATACTTGGAGTTTGGTTCCTATCTATATATATAAAAGCCTAAGTGACCATTAAGACCGAACGACTGGAACAACCAGTCGACCAGTCGCTATGACGCACACTGATCACCGGGGGGCAGACGTTCAACACAGAAGCTCCTCCCTGGTGGTCAGTGCACTCCCACAGCCAACCTCCCATGGCGCCTCCCCCCAGCTGGCCAACCTCCCCTTCCCCCCCCAACCCCCAGCCAGCCAGCCCCAATGGGCCCCGATCACTGGCCAGGCTGAGGGACCCCACCCATGCACGAATTTGTGCACTGGGCCTCTAGTAAAATATAAAAATTATGGCTCGAACCAACATGTGCTGTGAGCAGTGAGGACAGCAGTGACCATGGGGAGGCGGTGTCTGAAAGGCTGGCAACGATCTGTTTTCTTTGAGTGCTACTTACCGAGTATGCTGAGCTTGTGTACATTTATCAAGCTGCACCCTTTGGATCTGTGTCTTTTCTGTATGTCAATAAAAAGTTTAATAAAAATACCTGGAACTTAAATAACAAGGCTTTGTAAGGTTGGGAGACACCGGGAGAATTCTGTTTTGACAGTGATAGTGAAGAAAGACACAATTCCCTATTTATTCACATGGTCCCATGCCTTTTCCTACTTTCTACAATCAAATCATGAGAGCAGCTGCCCCTGCATCTATAAATCTGAATACCAGCTAACCAGAGCTGCAGAATGAAACCAGGAATAGCTGCCACCACACAACAGCCTGGTCTAAAAGCTGTCGGGGAAGGTCGGGGCTGCTAAGAAGGGACAAAGGTGTGCCTAGGCATTCCTACAGCGCAGGTCCATGTAAATGTTAAGGGAAGACTACGTTGCAAGGCTTTCCCCTATCTTAAAAGGTCATGCATGCTAATGGGAACCCTGGTCAGACCAGCCAGCCAAGGCCTCTGTGGCCAGGACCAGGAGCATTCGTTTTCCCATCACTCTCTGAAGCCCAGGTCATTTCGGAGTGCAGTCAGCCCACAGACAAACAGGGGGAGAAACAGAGAAGGAGGGTACGCGTGCAAGCGCAGAGTTGAGCTGATGTGTTAAATGTAGGAGCTGGAAAGAGTTGCTCTCTGGATCCCTCTTTCCTGTCTGAGCGCTGGCTGAGGAGTTATTAAACAAGCCCGAGAAAGTGTCCTAGATCCAAATAGTGTGAAATTCAATTGGTTAGGACT